GGGTATCTATTTTTAACTTTTAATTTCTTGAGGAACCTCCACACTGATTTTCAGAATGACTGTGTTAGCTTGCATCCCCATATGATGCAACTATGCTGCTGTTGGCCATATACCCAAAGGAGTCTGTATCCTACCACAGGGACATTCGCACATCCATGTCTATGGCTGCTCTAGCTTAGATGAAAGAGCACACGTGGCAACTGTAGAGCAGGCTAGGCTGACACAGAAGACGAGGGTGCTATGCTGATTAGAAGGCACATGTTTGCTATAATAAATCAAGATAGAAATAAGTGGGACAGGCACATTACTGGTAAAAGATCTTCTCAGTCAGTGGAGAACTTTAGTTCTCCAATTTCCAAAACCATAATAGAAAAATTTTGACACAGAAAGTTATTTTATCAATACTGCATAAACTATTCTTTTGTAGGAAACTTGGTCATTTGAAAATGTTGATTTGTAAACATAATCTGGGCGTCTGTACATTGCTAACCAAAGATGATAACAAAAATATATCAGTGTAACTCTTCTAACTTGTTTATAGTCAGATTAGTTCTCCTAAGCGTTCACATCTGTGGATACATATGCACTTGCTGAAGCAGCCTAGTGCCTGTGTGTGTGTGTGGGGGGGGTGGTGGCTCAACACAGGTCAGGATGCTGAAGCTGTCTTGTATACAAAAGCTCTTGCAGCTCTTGAGAGAGTTGGAAGAATGCATTCCCCCAACACCTAAATGGCTCTATGAATAAAGATAAAAGGGCTTATTACAAATATCTGTGAGAAATTACAAAAGCACACAGATGCAATCATCAGTCACTTGTTGAAAACACCTTCTGCTCACCCTCCCCCCTAGATCTCACTCTACTTACCCATCCTCCTATTACCCATCTCCTGCTTTGTCCCTTGAAGTTCTGCTTGAAGCAGACCACCACTTGCTAGAGCTTTAGACAAAAATCACCAGATTCCACCCACAAGGGACTCTAAGGATGAATTCTAAAGGGTGTGATGACTAATGTGTGATCCGGGATGCTCTGAATGCGGAAGCTAAATTGCTCCATCCCTTTCCCATTGGGATCAACATTGCCTTTACCACAGGGCAGACTGGAAGATAAGGTTTACTAAAAAAGGTCAGCCTTGCAAAGGGCACTGTCTAAGACAGTACCTTCCAAGAGAAATACAGAGTGATCACAGCCACACGTATAATTACGTGTTTTCTAGAGGAGATACTAGAGCAAGGGGAAAAATCAAGGTTAATCAGGTAGAAATCTTTAATAAATTTAAAAAAATCAAGGTTAATCTTATTATATCTTCATTTACTGAGTATTATTGCTCAACACATATTAACTGTAAAATTATCCATGGGATAGTACATTTTTTTACATGCCCCAAGTCTTCAAATTGCAGAGTAATAATAGATCTTTGCACTTATAATAAATACATTACACTTGGGCAAGTCACAGTTAAGGTATCCGGTAGCTACTTGTGGCCAGTTGGTTACCATGTTGAACAACAAATCTTCTAAGAAAACATTAATCCCCTGCGTATAGTTTTATTTGAGATTATTTTTCAATTACAGATATTTCAAGTATATGCTGGGCAAGGTCTTTCCATTCCATTCTGAGGTCAGAAATCTTTCTGGACAGATGTGTTAAAACACTTAGCAGCACCGATCCTGTTTGGGATGTGGTGCCACACACAGGCAGAGTTTTTTCTGGTTGAGTCTCAGACACAGCAAGCTTGGTTTTGACCACCAGCTTTGGAGCTGGACACCCTGGGTTTGCAACCTGGCTAGATGAGTCACTGTGTGCCCGTGGGTGGTTACCACACTTTCACGTGCCTTACCCTCCTCATCTACATCATTTAAATAGTCACTCATGCATGGTAGTATTTCCTCATGGGGACCAATGAGGTTTACATCTGTCAATTTGCATAAAATGCTAAAGCCATCACCTCTCACAAAGCAAGTACTCTTCAGGTATTTGATAAGACACATTTTAGAAATATTACAAACTTTAAAAATCAATTTTCACTTTCTCAATGTGGTCAGTAAATTATTTCTTAGGGGAAAACGTTTTTGAATGGAAAACGGCATAGTTCTGAATCAGACTAAAAAAACCAGAAAACCCAGGAGCTGTGGACCAGTTGGAAATAACAGCCTGTCTGCGCTTTGAATTTCTAATTAAGGGAAAACATTTTTGAATGCCTGGATTTATTTTTGAAGCAGTTGTAAAAATAAAGCTCATGGGAGAATCCTGGTTAGTGGCAAAGAGTTCCACACAGCCACAGTGATCTCACTGACACCAGCTCAGGTGATGGACACCGTGCACAGGTATGAAGCAGGCGTGGCTCGGCTCCACTACACTAGAAGACATGGTTCTTCTTTCATTTCTATTGCACAGACACAAAGAATTTTTACTGCCATTACTGCAGCTACTCCACTCTCCTCCTGACCAGCAGGCACAAGAGTGCCAGACCCACAGTGAGCAGCTCCCAAATCTGACATTGCCTGGCATCCAACACATTTTCATTCCCTTAATTATCAGTGACTGGAAACAAATAATTTAATTCTGGGGCAAATGAAAATGAATTAACGGTGCCAACTCCATTTCCCAGCTTTCTAATTGTCTGTAACAAAGGATAAAGAGGGACGTGTGTTGCCTTGGTGTGAGATTCATTTGAGAAAATAAAAGGCAGATGGAAAATTAGTGAGATCCTATTCCTCACCCCAACAAACACTGGTGTACCCAGCAGGAAAATCTTTTTGTACAGAATAAGCATTTCAAGTCACAAAGATTATGTTAGCTTGGTGAAAAGAAAGAAAAGCAGAAATCTGAGCATGGTAACACACACCTGTAATGCCAGCACTTGAGTTGCCGAGGCAGGATGATCAAGTGCTGGAGGTCATTCACTGAGACTCATAGTGAGATCCTGCCCAGGGGGTGGGGTAGGGGGGATGAGAACACACCGGGAGCACATTTGGCCATTTAGAGACAGTGAAACCACAAGCCTAGGCAGATCTCAGCCTAACATCAAACCTTCCCCAAGGCCCTGCAGCATTCATAGCAAAGACAACAGGAAGACATCTAAGCCTTGGATTTGGAAGGTCCAGGTGACTTAATTATGATGTTGCAAGTTAACAGGACTGATTATAGCCGATCTCAGTTATAAGTCTGTAACATGCAGGGTGTGGTCTTGGTGACCCAGGACTTCTCTTCGTGTTCTGATGTTTGTGATGAATGGACCTGGTGGGCAGATGCTCTGCCCATGAGACTCTGCCACTGCCAGGCATATCTCTTCCAATGGAACATTCTGGAACCTTAGAGTCAAGCAAGCACAAGACAGAGCTGATGACTTCCTGGCCACTGTGAGCCAGACTTGAGCTAAAATGTCACTGATCCAACCTCCTATGCTGACTGGTAGACTACAACGTCACTTTGGTTTACTGGAATCCAGTCAGGGGCCAGTAAATTTTGAGAAGCTTATCTTCTATTTATTTATGTTGTTCTCGAAGCATAGCCATCCCCTTTGGAGGAAGATTGTGAGAGATATTCACAATTAATTTTTGCTGACATAGTGGTATATCCTTCCTCATGGGGACTTGGCTTCTCCCTTATGTAAGTTCCAGGTCTGTAAAGAGGTGCCCACTTGGAAGCTGAATGAGGAGTCATGGCTGTTTTTAACAATTTGTTTTAGTTAGAGTTTTGTTCATTTGATATGGAACATCTCTGCTTATACAGATTAAATAAGAATTTAACAGTTCTCTATTTCACTTCTGGGAACCATGTGACTCACAGACATCAGTCTCCAGGGTCAGGCCATTGTGGTCACACCTTGCTCCACTCAGCTTTACTGAACCTATGGCTATCTTCCTTCAAGCAGTTAGTATGCTGAGGAGTTGTCCTGTATCTGCAGGCTCCAGCCCTTTGGAGCGTGCCCAACACGTACTGATAATATCCTGAAAACTACTTGTGTAGTTGAGCGTATGTATGTAAGAGAAAGATGTGCTGGGGACCTCTGATGTTCTTCTGCAGAATTGCGTCCTGCTCTGTAGGCTGTGATCAAGCAGCTGCTGGTGGTAACTTCTCAAACTCATAAACTATCTTGCCTCCCTTATCTCATTAAAAAAAAAAAGTAGCTATAGTTCCTAACAATATCTTGAAAAGATTATCTCTAAGTTGTGAATTGGGAGGCAGAAATTTATATTTCTACCAATTTTTCCTTATTGAAGTGGAGTTTTCATACTCTCATAAACAGGCCTTTGGGTTTTACACTTGTGGACCCTGAGTAAGTGCGTGCTTCGGTCTCCTTCAAGAAAATAGCTCTATCATTGATGCTGTTGCACCCCCTCACATGGCTAGGAGTGGACTCTAGTTAACTCTACCCAAATCAGGAATTACGATCAGAACTTACTGTTTCCTAAAGCAGTCCCCTGCCCCCACAGTTAAATACACACAGGGCACCTAGACCAATGAAGCCACAGTACTTTTTTTTTTTTTTTTTTTTTTTTGAGACAGGGTTTCTCTCTGTAGCTTTGGGGCCTGTCCTGGAACTAGCTCCTGAGTGCTGGGATTAAAGGCGTGCACCACCACCGCCTGGAAAATCCACAGTATTTGAGACAGCCTAATCTTGTATTTTAAGAGCAGGCCCTAAATAATGTGAATCGTTGTCATAGACACAGCTTTTTCTTACTTAAATCTCTAAAAAGAAATGTGTGATTCTGAACATGTTTTGCTGTGCAAACAGAATTCCAACTTAAGCAAAACCAGTCCCTTCGAGCTAAGTCACAACACCACCTGGCACAGAAAGCATGGGTGTCTCGGTACCTTCTCGGATTTAAATGTCTATAATTACATTCCCAAGAATCAACACTGTGGCTTCTTAGGCTGACACAAAAATAGCAGAAATGTGTTACAAGTTTCTTTCTTGGTGCTTAGATCTTACAGAGTGTAACTCTACAATTGGGAGCAAACACATCGCTATAAAATAGGAAGGAGAAAAACCTTACCCGAATCCAGAAAGCAAACGACAGAGGAGAAAGAAGCCATAGCCTTGGACAAATGAAGAAAGGAAGGCAAAGAATCCGTTGACAGACATGCAAATCAGGAGAGACTGCTTCCTGCCCACTTTGTCTGCCAGTCCTCCCCAGAAGAAGGCCCCCACCATCATCCCGAGGTACACTATGCTGCCTGCAACACACAGAAAACAAAAGAACAGGTCAGAGATTGGGGACAAGTAGCATGTGTAATAGCAAACAGGGCACAAAACACACTCCAGCATTTTGTACAGGGAAAACACCTCTAAAAGTGCGTCGTTAGGGATACAGCGATTAGTGCATCATTAGGAATACAGCGGTTGGTTGACAGTTTGGAAGTTAGCTCTGCCAGATCTTTACCACCCGTACTCCTCAGAAGCACCCATGGGAAGTTATTTCCTTTGCCATCACATGTAGAAGATAAGCGGGTCATTCCACCCCAGCCTTTTGAGGATGGGTATGCTGTGGATGGGTATGAGAAATCTCACAGAACAATCTTGGAGTCTGACTCCAGATTTCCACTTCTGGTCCAAAAGTCCTGTGTGTCACCATGACGAGGACAAGATGAGAAACTAAGTCAAGGGCCGTCCAAGGTCAAAGTGGACCTCCAGACTGTTTCAAAGTTCTTCTTACACCAATGGCCTGTGCTAAGACCAGGCCTTACCTCTTCTAGCAGATTCCATGTTTTCTTTTTAGTCTAGACTCTGGCCCTTTCTGCGGAGTTGAGGAGAGTGGACTTGGTGATTACAAGGATGAGACATAATGGATTCTAGCTCTCTCGCTCTTCTCATCAGAGAAGGTCATTGGAGTCAAGAGTTCACTGAGACAAGGAACAGTTTGAGTACATCAAGAAATGTTAATGCTGGCTTCAACCCCTAAGGAAAACTAATGAAAACTAGGAGTTAGATGTTCCCCTTGCTGTCACTGTGAGTAGTAGACACTTGATTTTTTTTAACGGTTTCTTTGTTTTTATTTTTTTCTGTGCATTGGTGTTTTGCCTGCATGTATATCTGTGTGAGCACGTTGGATCCCCTGGAACTGGAGTTACAGACAGTTGTGAGCTGCCATGTGGGTGCTGGGAATTGAATCCAGGCCCTGTGGAAGTGCACGCAGCCAGTGCTCTTAATCACTGAGTCATCTCATTCATTCTTCCCTAAGAAAAACAAACCTCCAGTAAACATTATGTAAACCTTGGTGAGGAACCTAGGTGTGGCAAATGTTAGTTCAGAACTCTCTCTCTCTCTCTCTTGATTGATTTAACACAGATACGGTATTATGGAATGTATGCCTGCCAGAAGAGGGCACCAGATCTCATTATAGATGGTTGTGAGCCATCATGTGGTGGCTGGGAATTGAACTCAGGTCCTCTGGAAGAGCAGACAGTGCTCTTAATCCCTGAGCCATCACTCCCCCCGAGAAGCCTTTCTGAAATAGTGAAATGCCCAAGAGAAAAGTCACAAGTGAAAGTTTCTTATGTCTAGAAGGGGCAATAAAGAGACTGTTCCTTCAGCTTTTCATCCATCTTTTCCCTTTCCTTCCTCTCCCTCTTTCTCTCCCTTCCTCCCTCCATCTCTTTCTCCTCCTCTCTCCCCAAGATCCTAATGTATATTCAAGGCTGGCCTAGAACTGACTATATAGTTCAGGCTTGCCTTGGTCTTAGCCCTTCTTTCTTAGCCTCCTTGGTGCTAGGATTTATAGGCATGAATCTCTTGGTCAAGTACTATTTTTAAATATACATTCCAAATAGTCTGACATTGATGTAAGAAAACAAAAAAAAAGTGGAGCAATAATTTTTTGATGGAGATTAGTTTGGGAAATAGTCACATCCCCTTAACTATCAGTGACCACACAATGAGTCATTATGAGGCTCAGGAGGAAAACAACTGACAAGTTGTTCCAACCACCACACAGACTGTTCACGCAACCATGGTGAATGGAAAGGGTCAGAACAACTGTAAACCAGACTCTTTTCTTACCAAAATCAGCTTCCCATCAGACTGGGATACTGCAAAGAAGTGGACCGAGCCTTGTGTTTGGCAGACATCATTTCTTCTTTCCCACAGGACTGGCTACACGCCCCCTGCCTCTCAACAGAGATTACTCACATCGTGAGATCCAGAGCGTGCCCACAAGGTGGTTTAAAGAACACATCCTCGCAAAGTAGATAGACTCATGGAGGAAATGTGTAGGCAGCCTAGCCCACACTGACAGCTTCAGCGGCACGTGCTTGCCAGTCACAGCTCTGAGCATATGGAGGCTAAGCTGCTTAGTGGTGGTGTCTGTGTCTTTAAAAAAATCTACACATAAGAAAGTGAATGTCCTTTATTTATCTCTAGAAACCAATTATGAGTGAGTACATCCCAAGTTCATCTTTTTGGGTCTGGGTTACCTCACTCAGGATAGTGTGTTCTATTTCCATCCATTTGCATGCAAAATTCGAGAAGTCATTGTTTTTTACCGCTGAGTAGTATTCTAATGTGTATATATTCCACACTTTCTTCATCCATTCTTCCATTGAAGGACATCTAGGTTGTTTCCAGGTTCTGGCTATTACAAATAATGCTGGTATGAACATAGTTGAACAAATGCCCCTGTCATATGATCGGGCCTCTCTTGGGTATATTCCCAAGAGTGGCATTGCTGGGTCCAGGGGTAGGTTGATCCCGAATTTCCTGAGAGTCTATAATTTGATCTCCTAAAGAAGCTAAATAAGAAGGTGATCCCAAAGAAAAACATATAGCTATCCTCCTGATTATGGGAAGTAGACAAGATTGCCGGGCAAAAAATGGGATCTTGGGGGAGGGACGGAGGGAGGTAAGGGGAGATGGGGAGAGAAAAGTGAGAAGGGGAGGTTGGGGGGAACTTGGGAAACGGGATGTTTGGGATAAAGGAAGGTTGGATAGGGGAGCAGGGAAGCACACATCTTAATTAAGGGAGCCATCTTAGGGTTGGCAAGAGATTTGGTGCTCCCAGGTGCCCAGGGCGATGTCCCCAGTTAGTTCCTGGGGCAGCTGAGGACAGAGAACCTGAAATGACCCTATCCTATAGCCATACTGATTAATATCTTGCATATCACCATAGAACCTTCATCTGGAGATGGATGGAGATAGAGACAGAGACCCACACTGGATCACTGTACTGAGCTCCCAATGTCCCAAGGAGGAGCAGAAGGAGGGAAAATATGAGCAAAGAAGTCAGGACCACGAGGGGTGCACCCACCCACGGAGACAGTGGGGCTGATCTATTGTGAGCTCACCAAGGTCAGCTGGACTACGACTGAAAAACCATGGGATAAAACCGGACTCTCTGAATATGGCGGACAATGAGGGCTGCTGAGAAGCCAAGGACAATGCCACTGGGTTTTGATCCTACTTCATATTCTGGCTTTGTGGGAGCCTAGCCAGTTTGGATGTCCACCTTCCTAGACCAAGATGGAGCGGGGAGGACTTTGGACTTTCCACAGGGCAGGGAACCCTGACTGCCCCTCAGACTGGAGAGGGAGGGGGAGAGGAGTGGGGGGGAGGGGGAGAGGAGAGGGAGGAGGGGGGAAAAGGGAGATGGGGAGGGAAATGGGAGGCGGGGAGGAGGCGGAAATCTTTTTTTTCAATAAAAAAATTATATTTAAAAAAAAAAAAGAAAGTGATTGTCTAACTGTCAGGAGCGAGTGACCTGTAGCTTCTGGGATTTAAATACTTGAAAGTCTTGCTTAGAGTTAGGGGTCCAGAAACAAAGCCCCTCACCCGCTTAGGTCCTTCAGTTTCCTTCTGCCCCAAGAGAAAGCTGCCATGAGAGCAAAACTATTCCAATCTCTCTGTGGCTCTCTCCTTTGCTCTGCTGCAGGAAGGGAGGGCACAGCAAAGTGTGCTATCTGCATTCAATCAATAACCACTTAAAACATTTTCCTTCATTCGCTTCCTTCATTTTCCTTCCTTTTAAAAAGGTCTCACTATGTTGCCCAGGCAGGTCTTGAACTCATGATCCTCCTGCCTTATCCTTCTAAGTATTAGGGTTGTAAGCAGGTGCCACTGCACCTAAACTCCATTTACTTTTTCAATGAGAGTAATAACCCCTGCTGTTACTCATGCTGACTCTGCATCTTTTGGGTTTTTCAAGAACATGCCACACTTTGGCTCATTTGAACTTCACTACAATCTTGAAGAGTGGGTATTATTAACCTGTGTCCTAGATGAGGGGACCGAGAGATTTTGTAGTATGATCAAACAGACAGAAAAAATGGCGCATTAGGGTAGTAAGTTCATTTTTGTCAGGCTAAAACCTGCAGGGTTCTCAGGATTCATGGTGTGTTGAAAATACCAGGCCTTGTGACTCTGGATCCTCCATTGGGACCCTTTGGACTTCTCATTGATCTGGGACCTTAAGGGTTAATATAGGACAATGCCCAGTGTGTGAAAACTACTCTGATTCCCAGGATACCTGTTACCAGTCCGGATACCACCACTGTTATTTCTGCCAAGCTCACCTTGGAACTACTTATTACGCTCAAATCAAGAACCGGATGGTATAAAGTAGACGATCTAGCTCTTGACCTTCTGGTTGACCTCAATTTGTTCCATTTAAGAGATGTGAATCTGAGTGCCGGAGGCAAGTGTAGCTAATCTGGGTCCTCCCTGTCCCCTAGACTCTAATCACCCGTGACTCCCTACTTCCTCCAACTGCCTGCTCATGAAGTCATTTGGATATTCAGCCTCTTGAGAGAGAATCGTTTGTAATCTAGACAGAGTGGCTTATCAAAAAGTAAGTCAGAGGGCAACATCCAGGCTAGACTTTCCATGGCTTCCTGGGGATAAATGGCCAGACCAGAACAATGCTGAAGCAGGTAGCCATCTTGGGGGGGGGCACTAGGGTCCCCTATGTGCTCATCGGGATACTCGATCAGGATATTTTAAGGAGCATGTTTAAGGAGTCATTTGGCTTGGCCCAAAGCAGGAGGTGTGTCCTCCAATAGAAGAGTCAATGGGGAGAGGCTGTTAATTCTCACGCAAATCCTGGGGGGTTCCTTTAAGAATGGAATGTGTGAGAGGGAAACATGAGATGGCATTGAAGTCCTCCACAAGTGGCGGGTTTGTCACAAAGGCGTGCAACGTCAAGCTGTGTAGCCCTTCCTCTTTCACTCTGGTTAAAAGTGCTTACCCT